ATCTCCACTCTTTTCTTCCCATCTTTACCCGCTCTTCCCTTCTGGAGGTCGCCACTATCTTAACTCTTATGATAATAATCCCTTTGCTTTTCTGTGTAGTTTTACCACTTACATATAGAATCCCCAAATGATGTAGTTTAGTTTTGCCTCTTTTTGAACTTTATATAAATGGAATCATACTGTTTTTTGGGTGTCCTCATTTATTTTGTTTAATATTATGTTTGAATGATTCGTCATGTTCTGAGGAGCTCTAATTGGTTCATTCTCATCCATAACACTCCGCTGTACCCCAATGAAAAAAATTTTAATTGATTTTTAGAGAGAGAGGAAGGGAGAGGAGAGAGAGAAACAACAAGGTGAGAGGAAAAATCGATCAGCTGCCTCCTGCATGACCCTTACTGGGGATTGAGCCCTAAACCTGGGCATATGCTCTGACCCAGAATCAAACCGGCTACCATTTGGTGCATGGGATGACACTAAACCAACTGAACCACACCTGCCAAGGAGATTATTTTTTTCTATGGCTGCACTCTGAAATCTTTTTATAGGTAGTTTAAAGGCATTTGGGTATTTTTTTAAGAGACAAAAAGCAGTAAAATTGTTAAGAATATTAATTTGGGAATTAGACCTGTGTTTGAATACGGACTCTATAATTTAGTAGATTATCTTGAGTACATGATCAAGCCTTTCTGAGCTTTAGTTTTCCAGAAATGGGAAAAATAACATTACATCATAAGATTGTTGAAAAGACAAAAAAAAAAAAAGTCCATAAAGCACTTAGTACAGTGCCTAGCACATGGTCACCCTGAGTAAATGATGATGATTACTATTACTCTTGGTCTGCTTGCTGAAGTTCCAGTTTAGGGGCTGACTCTGTTTAACCGTGGCTCCTCCTTGAGGATCTTGCTTAATATTTAGGAATTGAGGAGGTAGAGCTTTACTCTCCATACGTCATCATCCTCTCAGAAATTGCCTTCGTGGTGACTTCCTCATAAACTCCTCCATTAATCTGTCAAGGAAACTGTCCTGTGTGGACTAGGAGCCTCCCACCTTGTAATCAGGTGGATAAAGTATAGGCCCTTCCCACCAGGCCCTCAACAACTCCAAACTGAGTTGCTCTTGAACAAATACCAATCCTTCGATTCATTCATTAAGCAGGTGAGGCAGAGTGGAAGTATTCTAATCCCTTTTCTTTTCTTCTCTAAGACCTAGTACTAGAGATGTAAGCTTCAAAATTCTATTAAGGAATGTGCTGTTTTCACAATGGCAGGAGACTATCAGAGAGATAGACAAGACTCCACAGGTATGTTGGATGCAAGAATCAGGGTTATAATATGCTCATTCAACAAGTCTTTTTTTTTTAAATATATGTTTTTATTGATTTCAGAGAGAAAGGGAGAGAGCTAGAGAGACAGAAACAACAAAGATGAGAGAATCATTGATTAGCTGCCTCCTGCACATCCCCTACTGGGGGGGAGGGGGAGATTGAACCTGTAACCCGGGCATGTGTCCTTGGCCGGAATTGAACTCGGGACCCTTTAGTCTGCAGGCCAATGCTCTATCCACTGAGCCAAACTGGCTGGGGCTCAACAAGTCTTTATGGAATAACTTTGTGACAGGAACTGTTTTAAGCTACAGTAATGATTTGGTAAATTTATTGAGACTTGTTTTGTGGCCCAGCACATGGTTTATCTTGGTAAATGGTCCATGTGCCTCTCAACAATCTTATGAAAAGTGTGATATTTATTACCATCCCAAATTGTCAGTGGAGAAAAATGAGGCTTATGTACTTCAACTTCCCTTAAGGATTAATCCTATCCAGCTAGTAAGTGGCAACATGATATTTGAACCAAAATTTCTGACATCATATTCTGAGCTCTGAACTTTCTCCTTTACATATAAACTGAAGAAAAAATGGTTCTATTTTTTTTGTTTTTTTACCATTTTTGCCTGTAGGGAAAAATCAACAGTTTCTAATCATACCCCTGAGAACAATATTTCCTTTGTCTGAGTCATGAGGATTTTCATCAAATAATGTTCAATAGTGGATCATAGTCCATAATTCTACTGAGTTGCCAAGAAGGAAAATTTGATTAAAAGTAATTAAATATTTGCTACAATTTATGATTATGTAAGATGATTGCATTGAGCATAGCATCATTAAACATCCAACAAATTTTGTTTTGCTGTTGAAGAATGATGTATTTAGGTTTTGAAGTTGGATTTTCCTTCTGAACATTTTCAACTGGTACCTAGTATGCACACTATTAGGCAATATTTAAAATAACACAGTTTTTAGATTTTTCAGTTTTGTGAGCATCATTTGGAAAATTAATCTGAATAGAATAAAAATGGCATACAACATTCCGACAGAAATTTAGCTTAGTATTAAGTTAACCTTCATGAAAATGCCATTTGTAGTTAAAAATGATGAACTATTTCTAATTTCATATAGATCAACTTAATAAATTCTCCTATTCCATATGCATGAATTCAGCAGGAAAGTAAGCTCTGCTAAGACAGGACTCTGGGTTTTGTTCACTATTGTGCACATGGTAGTCACTCAGAAAATGGTTGTTGAGTGAATGAATAAGGAGAGCAAATAAAGTGTGGTAACTAACCTTGCATTCTTTTTTAAAATAAAGTTTATGTTTTTATTGATTTTTTTTTAGAGAGAGACATCAATGTGAGAGAAACGGCCATCAGTTGCCTCCTGAACCTGCAACCTTCAAAATTCTATTAGGGAATTTAATGTTCCCTAATAGAATGCATGGGATGGTGCTCAACCGGGCCACGCCGGCCAGGGCTCATGTTGTATTCTAATACAACGTGCCTTTGGGTTTAGGTTTGGTGTGGAAATAAGAACAATACCATGATATGCATTAGTTAGAGTAAAATGATGAAAATTCTAATTAAAAACCCTACTCAAGAAAATTAAAAACATATGTCCACACGAAAACTTGCCCATGAATAGTCATAGTAACAAGTATTCATAATAGCCAAAAGTGGAAATAACCCAAATGTCCATCAACTAATGAAGATTTAAATAAAACGTAGTATATTTACTCATTGGAATAGTATTCAGCCATAAACAGGAATGGTAGGTACTATAACATGAATGAATTTTGAAAACATTATGCTCAGTGAGAGCAGCCAGATACATGTATTATTTATTGACATAAGATGTCCAGGATGGGCAAATCGACACGGACAGAAAGTACATTAGTGGTTGCCAGGGTCCAGAGTCAAGGGAGAATGGGGAGTGACTGCTGATGGACACAGGGCTTATTTTTAAGATGATGAGAACATCCTGGATTTAGATAGTAGTGATAGTTGTATATCCTTGTGAATATACTAAAAACCACTAAGTTGTATGTATACTTTAAAATTAAGGGTGGCCCTGGCCAGTTTGGCTCAGTGGATAGAGTGTCGGCTTGTGGACTGAAGGGTCTCAGGTTTGATTCTGGTCAAGGGCACATGCCCTGGTTGGGGGCTCAATCCCCAAAAGGGAGTGTGCAGGAGACAGCCAATCAATGATTCTCTCTCATCATTGATGTTTCTATCTCTCTCTCCCTCTCCCTTCCTCTCTGAAATCAATAAAAATATTTTTAAAAATGAAATTAAGGGTGAATTTTATGGTATGAGAAACATTTCAATTTTAGAAAGTAGGGAAAACACTCTAAGTTCTTTTCAGAACATGTCAACATACACTATAAAATAATAGATATGTGTTTATAAATAAGCGTATTAAGAAATGTTCCCTTGTTTAATTATAAATCCAGTGGAATGTTTGGGGATTTCAGTAATCTGACAGGGAACATTAAGAGGATTAACCTGACCCCCAGTGTTAATGCCACCAACCTAAACTGCATCACTCAAAAACTACAGTCATATTAAAATAATTGGAGAAATGACTTCCACGAAAACAATACCCATCAGCTTAATTACCCATTAAGGTTGTCATCACTTTATTATTATTTTTTGTCATCAATTTAAATACCTTATATTTATATAATGCTTTTACTTCCTCAAGTATTGAATTATGGCTTAAGATCTATTGTATGGGAGAGTCACATCTCTAACCATTTAATTAAAGGCAGAGAAGTGGGTGGGATTGGACAGAAATCTATTAGCAATGCTGGCATTCCAGACTGGAATACTAAGTGAAGCAGGATTTAAGAAACCTGCAGATGGTTCAATAACAAGAATTAAAACTGCTACATTCTACTACTAGTTAAAAAACATATTGAAATACAACAGACATATATATTAGTAAATGTGTATACATCCTGAAGTGTAGACTACGAACTTTCCTAAGTGAACACTCCTTTGGAAACAGGCTCCAGATCAAGAGAACACAGCAGACAAAACTAGTTTTTGTTTTGTTTTTAAGCCAAAGGGAATATTAAAATTGTTTAAATCACGCCCCCGAGATTCTCCATCAACCACAGTTAAATTTGGGAGGGCGCAGAGGACCCTGAAGTGGTAATACTGAATACCGTGGTGTGTGCTTAATTTTGATGGCAAATCTACCGACACCAAAATCTAGGGTACTTCACCTTTATTTAACTACTCCTTTTTCTGGATCCAGAGATTAAAAACGGTTCCTAAATTTACGCATGGCTTTTGAAAATCTCCCACATCTGGATTTCCAACAAAACTTGAACCAAATTTTTGGAGCAGGAAAGTGCTATGCGAGACGTGGTTTTCCTGCCAAAGTGCGGAGCAACCCTGGCCCCTCCCTCTTCAGGAGGAAAACAGCCCCTGCAGACCTCACTCCGAAACCCGCGGAGCTCCGAGCGCGCCTCGGGGTGGCCCACGACCACCCCCGGGTTCCCGGGAGCCCGAGCCCTTTCTCTCGCTGGGTCCCCGCACCTCCGCCCGAAACAAGGAGCTTTTCCTTTAACTCCGCGCTCTGCAAGGGTGTGCGGAGCAGGCCGGCTCCTCCCGCCTCCTTCTCCACCTCTCCCTTCCCCCTCCCATCCGAGTTTCAGGTGAATGGGTCACGGAGGGAGGAGGCTGCCACACTACACCTCCACCTCCGGCGCAGACGGCGGACTCCGGGGAGAGCTGGCCAGAGTGTCGAGCAGCCCGTGCCGGGGACAGCAGGTGGGGTCGCCCGGGCGGGGCCGCCCACCTCCCGCAGCCCAGCCTGGCATTGGTGCGCATGCTCCGGGGCTGGGCGGCCGGGGTGGGGTGGGGGGACCCAAGTGGAGGGGGAGGGCTGAGTCCCCCGGCAGGTCCTGGGGTGAGCGCCGGTGGTCCGCACAGCGTCAGGTGCGCCGGCCAGGTGAGCGCGCTCCTCGGCTCCCGCCGTCCCTGGTGGATCTGGTGGGTCGGGCTGGGCTGCTGTGAGTTGGTGAGAGTTGGGCGCGGCGCCCGGGGCGCACGGTACCCCGGAGTTCCCACTGGTTCCGCGGCGCCTCGGTCTGGTAGGGGAAGCGCGGGGGAAGGGCGCTCGGGGCTGGTTTCGGTGGCGGTTTCGCCCCGGGACTGGGACTCGCGGGAACCGGGGAGGCGCGGGTGCGCGGGGCGAGGCTACCGTGGACGCTGCGCCCCGGAGCCGGGGCCACTTGGAGGCGCCGATTAGCTTATTTGGCGGAAACGCTTTATTGTACCTGTGCCCAGGCGCGGACAACTTTTCGCTTTTCGGAGGCGGGAGGTTCGCGAACAGTGAGACTCCTGCGCTGCGCTCTCCGGGCTGCAGTTCTTGGGGGTTCTCAGGGAGAGGGGCGCGGCGCCCGGCTCCTCCGGGGTCCTGAGCCCCAGGGCTGGAGCGATGGGGGGCGCTCGCTGGCCAGGAGGCTTGGATCCCGGGGGACCTCGTCATCCCCGCCCCCACCTCACCTCTTTGGGTATCCCAGGGAGAGAGGGTGGCTGGGTGGAAATCTTGAAATAATGTATTCCTGGAGTGACGGGGCGCGCCGACCGACTGTTTTGAATTTTGAGCGCACTTAGTGGAGCTGGCTGAGCCCCCGTGGATTTAAGCTTTGGGGACGGGGATTTCATTTCGAGGGAGGCAGTACTTCGAGGGAATCTGCTCACGCTCGGATTCTCAGCCGTGACCGAAGGCCTCGGGCGGCCCTCGCCCGGCCTGCGCGCCCGGCCGCCGGGGGTGCTCCTGGGCGCGGCGGGGGCGCGCGGGTCCCGGACCTGCCCCCGGCCGGCCGCGGGGTTTTGAGACCTGCGGGTCCAGCGGACATGTTGCCTTTGTCGGAGGAAGAGCGCGGGGGGGGGGGGGCGGGGGGGGGGCGGGGGGGGCGGGGGTGGGTTGAGGGGCCAAAATGGCCTCTGCACCTTGGGGCTGGAAGAGCAATTCCGAGCCCCTCGTGTCCCAGGTGAAGCGACCGGGCGGGAGCTGCCCCGGGGCCGGCTGGGCAGGCTGCCCACCGGGGAAGTGACCCGGAGCGGGGAGGAGGCAGCCTTCCAGGTTAGTGTGTGGCCCTCGGGCACAACAGGTGTATTATTGGGATCCCTGGAAAAGAGAAACCCTTACTTTTAAGGCACTGCTGGCCATTCTTGCTGTGATTGAAATGAGTTCTTTTTATCCAGAGGTAGATTTCTCAAACTGCTCATTCCCAACTGTAACAATGTTTCTTTTGCATTGTACATTGGATCTTTATTTTAAATTTCTGATATTTAAAAAAATAGATATTTTAAATGGTGGAGCCACAGTAATAGATAACGCCTCAGACAAAGCAACACTTTTTTTTTTTGTAGTTTTGCATTTATTGAGCCATTAGATGCCTCCTTTGTTGGGTGATGGAGAGGAGGATAGTGAGATTTAGACAACTCGCAGGTTATTTAGGGGAATCATGGGCGGTGCCTCCTGTTTTCGAAGCACTGTTCTAAAGGCTTTTGTACTTCTATCATTTAATCAACCACTCTGAAAGGTAGGCCTTATTAGAATTCCATGGTAAAGGTGAGTAAACACCTTTAAACCTAGTTACCTTCTCAATCTTGAATGTGGTATGAATCACCTGGGGATCTTATTAAAATACTGATTCTGATTCATAGGTAAGAAGTGGGGCCTGGAATTCCGCATTTCTAAGGAATTCTCAGGTGATGCCCACATGTTTGTGTATTTCACCCTTTTCTCTCTTTTTCCTCTCAGACTGTAAGCTCAGTTATGTTTTTGAACTTAAAGGATTGTATTTACTGGGTGTTATGAGTGAAGAACTTCAATCTGGTCACTGGTGGATTGAAACCCCAGCTGTAATATGGGCTGTTGGTCTTTATAGATCAGGTATTGGTAGATCATCACTTCGTACCAGGGATTAGGGATAACAGTGATGGTCAAAACAGACATCTGAGTGCTTGTGAAGATGGTATTCCAGTCGGGGTGGAGAGGGGAGGGGGAGAAAGAAAGAAAAGAAAAGCTAATAATTTAGTTGGTGGTGGTGGTGGGGGGGAATGCTGTCTGAAAATAAAACAGGTTTCGTGGATGGAGTGAGTGACGGGGAGGGCCTCTGAGGAAGTGAGACACTTGCACTGAGAACTGAACCACAGGCACTGCCAAGTAAAGATCTGAGTGTCCTGGACAGGAAACACAATATCAGCGCTTTGATGTGAGACAGTGATTCTCAGAATTATGGTGTGCTTAAAAATTATCTGGAGAGCTTATTTAAAATGCAGTTTCTGACACAGAGCTCAACTACTTCAAAGTTTGCCTAATTTCAAAAATTTAGGCAGTTTACTAATGAAGTGCCTATAACCTAAATATCAGGCACAACTTAAAAAAAAACTTCTTAGACACAAATTAACTATTGCTGTATGAGATTGAGAAGGAGCAGACTGCCCTTCAATACAATAAAGTTTATTTTTTATTTTTTTGACAATTTGCTTTAAGGAATAATTTGGGGCATAGTATTTTCAGACTTTTCTACTTCATCTTAGCTTGTTTTTGTGTGTTTTTTGTTTTGTTTTTAGGACAGCTTTGGACCAGTAAACATTTTCAAGAAGAGAACTTTTGTTATATGTTAACATTAGCTGGCTTTCAGCGTAACATTCTACAAGTGTTTGCTGCTTCTCTTTTGCCCCCGGCTTTTACTCAGCTGTTTGACTTATGTCCCTTTCACTGTCACAACTTGCTGTGCTGGACATTGGACAACAGTCTGTTGTATCTTGGCTCACTTTCTACTTTGGCTGTCGCCTCAAAGCACAGTTGCAGACTGCCTTGAGAGAGACCTTTTAAGTCCCGTCCAGTCCCCCCAAATATCAAACAACTTAAGCTTTGCATAACTGGCATCAGATCAAGTTGTTAGTTGTTATTTTTTGGAGGGTGTGCGGGGTCAGGGTGAGGGAGAAACTTCCTAACATTGAGAGGGAATCTGACCCTGGTGGTGTGTGTGTGTGTGTGTGTGTGTGTGTGTGTGTGTGTGTGTGTTTCAAATACCATGTCTAGGACGACAAAGGGGGGTCTTCAGCATAGCGGTCCTTCTAATGTTGAGCTCTCCAGGCCAAACATTTCCTGTTTTTCCAATCATTTGTGTTAAGACATGATTTTTCCTGCCAGCACCAGTTTGGCTCAGTGGATAGAGCGTCGGCCTGCGGACTGAGGGGTCCCAGGTTCGATTCTGGTCAGGGGTATGTACCTTGGTTGCAGGCACATCCCCAGTGGGACATGTGCAGGAGGCAGCTGATCGATGTTTCTCTCTCATCGATGCTTCTGACTCTCTATCCCTCTCCTTTCCTCTCTGTAAAAAATCAATAAAATATATTAAAAAAAAAAAGACATGATTTTTCTAGATCTTCAATAATCTTAATCACCCTTTGGAGAGGGAGTTAATTGGAACATGATGCACAGATTTTAAGATATTGCAGAGGTTTGCTTCTTTTTAATTACTGTGTCATTCCTAGATTCAAGCACTATCTCTGTGAGTACTATCTGAGTTTGGAATAATATGTTAACTTTTGTTGAAATTCTCACCAAGGGAATGCACTTTTAAAAATGGACAGTTATTAAGCCAGCTCTCCTTATCCAGTACTTATACTATTAATTTTTAAAAATTGAGGTAACATTTAAAAAATGTTTTTATTCATTTTGGAGAGAGAGGAAAGGAGAGGGAGAGAGAGAGAAACATCTATGAGAGAGAAACATTAACATCGATAGGTTGTTTCCTGTACGACCCCTACTTGGGAATTGAGCCATAACCGAGCATGTGCCCTGACCTGGAATCCAGCTGTGACCTCTGGGTTCATGGGTGGATGTTCAACCACTGAGCCACACTGGCCAGGCTTAATTCGTTGTTTTATTTAGTTATCCCACCTCAGAGCTTAGGGTTAGCCCCCATTTGACAGAGGAGGGCAGTGAGGCTCAGAGATGAGGAACTTGTGCCAGGCAATGAGTTTTTACAGCCACTAGGTTTCTTTCAATCATCCTTTCGTCCTTCCGACCTTATGGAGAACTTGATCAGTGTTGATAGACTTGTAGCCAGTGGGGTCCGTAGCTGCAAATCTGGGTAAGCTTGTTGCCTCCACTTTGTGTGTAGCAGAACCGCTCGAGACCTCCCTCCAGGCAGACATAAATGGCCCATTCTTTTATCTTAATTAGATCCCATTCTTTAGCTTAGACATCTGCCCAACACGGTCTGTACAGCAAGGATGTGCTCAAGATTCTCAGGATTCTCTCTGCACTTCCCTCATCTACCCGCCTGGTAACCTCCAAAAAGGAGATGAAGTTGGTGTGGCATGACTTGTTCTTAATTAGCTTTCTAAAATTGATTTGCTTCACAATTTAAAATCTGTTATTAGAGGAGTCATGACAATTAAACTCTGAATCTAGGAAATAGTCGTTTGGAAAGGGATTTTCTTGTTTGGATTTTTTAAAAATATATTTTATTGATGTTTTTACAGAGAGGCAGGGAGAGAGATAGAAAGTTAGAAACATCGATGAGAGAGAAACATCGATCAGCTGCCTCCTGCACATCTCCTACCGGGGATGTGCCTGCAACCAAGGTACATGCCCTTGACTGGAATCGAACCTGGGACCCTTTAGTCCACAGGCCAACGCTCTATCCACTGAGCCAACCGGCCACGGCTCTTGTTTGGATTTTTGACAAAACTGAAACTGTGGTCTGGGTCTGGATTAATTTAGAATGTTCAAAAGCCATCATTGAGCCTGGAATTTTTGGCATAGTCTTGAATGAGTGAGTGAGAGGTATAGAAGGAAGAAGATTCCTCCTCTCAGGTCAGTCAGTCAGTATTTGACATTCAGCTTCAGAAATAGTGTCTAAATTCAGTTTTTCTTAATATTTTTCTGAATCTCAATTAGGGAGACATTTAACCTGGACTTTGACTCTTTTTTTAAAAAAAAAATCTTTATTGTTGAAAATATTACATGTCCCCTTTTTTCTCCCATTGACCTCTTCTAGCCCGCCCCCACCCTCCTCCCAGCCCCAGGCCTTCACTACCCTATTGTTTGTGTTCAGAGGTTATGCATATATATGCCTACAAGGTCTCTTCCTATCCCTCAACCACCCCCCCCCACCCCCACCCCTGTCTTCCCGCTGAGATTCGACAGTCTGGACTTTTACTCTTATAGCACCATAATATTTTGGCCTAAATTGCTCATTTATATGTGTGTTTGGATGCTAGTTATAGGGTGCTTTGTACACCTATGACTTGTGGACTTTCTGTATGTTTCAGTCAATAAGGTGGTTTTTAGAAGTAAAAGAATGTAGAGAAGTTGTCTTCCCTCTTTGTGTTTGGAAAAGTTATGTTAACTATTGATGTTACTAACATTCACTGTATTTCCATCTTCGAGGTTTTATGTAATATACATTTAGGCAATATTTTATTCTAAGACATTTGGAATTCATTGTCCTTAAGGATGTAGGCAATAGCTGCTGTTGCTTTTAAAGAATAAAGTTTAAAGAGTTTGAATTGATTCAGTTTCTAACATAGTGATGCAAGATTACACATACTTTATTTGAGAATAAAAAACATTGGACATGCCGAAACCGGTTTGGCTCAGCGGATGGGGCGTCGGCCTGCGGACTGAAAGGTCCCAGGTTCGATTCCGGTCAAGGGCGTGTGCCTGGGTTGCGGGCACATCCCCGGTGGGAGATGTGCAGGAGGCAGCTAATCGATGTTTCTCTCTCATCGATGTTTCTGGCTCTCTGTCTCTCTCCCTTCCTCTCTGTAAAAAATCAATAAAATATATATTTAAAAAAAACAAAACAAAACAAAACAAAACAAAAAACATTGGACACTTTAATATGTTCAGATATAGATTTTTTAATATTTCTTTTTCGAGAGAGAGAAATATCAATTTGTTATTCCACTTACCCCTGTATTTTTTGGTTTTTTCTTTTTTTTTTTTTTTTTGTCAGTTTTCATTAAGGATATTTTTAGAGGGGGAGGGAGGGAGGAGTGAGAGAAAAAGAGAGAGAGAGAGAGAAAGAGAGAGAGAGGTGTGAGAGACATATCGATTGGTTGCCTCCTGCACACACCCCAGTCTAGGTCAGGGATCGAACCTGCAACTCAGGTACCAGGAATGGAACCTGCTACCCTTTGGTGCATGGGCCAGCGCTCTAACCACTGGGCAACACTGGCCAGGGAAGATACAGGTCTTGCTCAATTGTTCTTCCTTCCTTCCTTTCCGCTTCCTCTTTAAGTCTTTGGTCATCCCCATACTGCACTTTATCACATAATTCGGTCCTAATTAATGCCTGTTGCAGTAGGCTGGGTGACCTTCAGGAGGACTTTGTCTCATACTTAATTTCCACAGGTCCTGTGATATAGCAGAGGCACTTAATAAATACTCGTTGATTGAATGAAATTGGGACAAATTGAGAAATGTTAGAACAAAATCATTCTGCTTTTGCCTTAGAGGACTCTTTAATACAATGTGCATTTAATGTTTTTTCCCCCCATAATTTATAAAAATTATGCCTGGTTTTGAAGATTTAGAAAAGCAGAATGAGAAACTAACTGTCCACAATCCCACCATTCAGAGATGCATCTTGTAATCATTTGTAATGAGAAAAATATACTTTTTAAACCAGCTTATGCTATAGTTAACATTGATGGCCTAGTATGTGTTAGACTCTGCTAGATAGGCACTTTTTTTCTTTTTAAAAAATGTATTTTTATTGATTTCAGAGAGGGAGGGAGAAAGAGAAACATCAATGATGAGAGACAGTCATCGATCTGCTGCCCCCTGCACACCCCCTACTGGGGATTGAGCCTGCAACCCAGGCATGTGCCCTGACTGGGAATCGAACCATGATCATATGTCGATGCTAAACTACTGAGCCACACCAACTGGGCGATATGCACTTTTATATGCATTCTCATTTTATATGAACTTTCCAAAGTAATATGAAACAATATATTTAAATAATGTTTTTTTCTCATACCCATCTTGTTATTTGAAGAGACTGGTTTTTTTTTAAATATATTTTATTGATTTTTTACAGAGAGGAAGGGAGAGAGATAGAGAGTTAGAAACATCGATGAGAGAGAATCATCGATCAGCTGCCTCCTGCACATCTCCTACTGGGGATATGCCCGCAACCCAGGCACACGCCCCTGACCGGAATCGAACCTGGGACCCCTCAGTCCGCAGGCCGACGCTCTATCCACTGAGCCAAACCGGTTTCGGCTGAAGAGACTGTTTTAAAAAATAAATACAATTTTTTACCTATGCTGTAGAAGCATTGTGAATTTTTTATTAATACAATCTAGAATTTCAAAGTAGACAGTATTTGTATGCCAGTGATGTACAGAGCATGGTGTGAGGTGCTGTGAGGACTCCCAGGCTGAATAATTCCTGTGCCCAGTGATTTCCTCTGCATAAGGAATTAATGGTCCAATGTATAAAATAGCAATGGGAAGGACCAGAGAAATAAACATGGTGTGAGAAGTTACTTGAGATTGGTATCACTAGTTTTCTTAGTGATGCAAGGAAACTCTGAGCTCAGTAGTAATGCCATTACCCTACTTATGTTGCTTAGATTGGCTTATCTTGGGAGCTACAGGACATTGCTCATCTTGAAGATCAGGTGACCACTGACCATGTCGTCGAGGCCTTTTGAAAGCCCCCCTCCATATAGACCTGATGAATTGTAAGTAAATATTTCTTCAGTTTTCCTCTTAAAAAAGTCTATCACATGTAAAAAAAATATGTACCTATTGTTGAAATTTTCATCTATTCGTTTGCTTTTAAAAATAAAATATGTGTATCCAGTGAAAAATGAGTTTCCCTCTTACCCATAACTTCCAGGATGAGTTTTTCTCTGCAAAGGCAACTATTGTTACCTGTTTCTAATGTTTACTTCAATATAGTCTAGGCTTATATTTGTATGTATATTTATTCCTTTTGTTTTCACAATTGTTACGACACTTCCATATTAATGCCTTGTTTAAATCACCATTGGCAACATGGCATCAATTTTTTAAATAACACTTTTATTGAGGTATAATACATCATACAATCCACTCATTTAGAATGGACAGGTCAGTGATTTTAATGTATTCACAGCGTTGTGGAAGCATCACTATTTTAGAACATTTTTATGACCACCTCCCCAAAGACACCCTTACCCATTAGAAGTCACTCCCTGTTTCCCCCCTGTACTCAGCAACCACCAGTCTACTTTTCTGTTCTATGTTTGTCCATTCTGGACATTTCATATAAATGGAATCATACATGTGGTTTTATAATATACTAGAGGCCCGGGGCATGAAATTTGTGTACGGGAGCGGGGGAGGGAGACCCCTCAATCTGGCCTGCACCCTCTCCAATCTGGGATCCCTCTCGCAATCCGGAACCACTGGCTCCTAACCACTCACCTGCCTGCCTGCCTGATCCCCCTAACTGCCTAACTGCTCTCTCCTGCCAGCCTGATTGCCCTAACTGCCTAACTGCTCTCCCCTCCTGGCCTGATCCCCCTAACTGCCTAACTGCGACCTTCCCCCTTCCCCCTTCCCCTTCCCCCTGCCCCTTCCCCCTTCCCCTTTTCCCCTTCCCCCTTCCCCCTTCCCCCCAAAAAGTGCTAACTTAACATTGTTTTCATGTGCATTTCAGCAAACCAAGTCATTACGCACCAAGCAATGACATGTATGGTGGGGAGATGCATGGTCGCCCAATGCTCTCTCATACGGCATATTCTTTCTACCCAGAAGATGAAATTCTTCACTTCTACAAATGGACCTCTCCTCCAGGAGTGATTCGGATTCTGTCTATGCTCATCATCGTGCTGTGCATTGCCATCTTTGCCTGTGTCGCCTCCACACTTGGCTGGGACAGAGGCTATGGAAGTAACATTCTAGGAGGTGGTATAGGTTACCCTTATCCTGGAGGTGGCTTTGGAAGCTTTGGAAATGGCTATGGTTATGGCTATGGTTATGGCTATGGAACAGGCTATACAGATCCAAGAGCGGCAAAGGGCTTCCTGCTATCCATGGCTGCCTTTTGTTTCATTGCTGCATTGGTGATATTCGTTACCAGTGTTATAAGATCTGAAATATCTAGAACAAGAAGATATTACCTGACCGTGATAATAGTGAGTGCTATCCTGGGCTTCATGGTGTTTATTGCCACAATCGTCTATATAATGGGAGTCAATCCAACTGCCCAGGCTTCTGGATCTATGTATGGTTCACAGATTATTGCCATCTGCAACCAGTTTTATTCACCTACAACTTCTGGGATGTACGTGGATCAGTATTTGTATCACTACTGTGTGGTGGATCCTCAGGAGGTATGAGTAATTTTGTTTTTTCACACCTTGCGTTAGAGGCTCAACTCGGGATGCTTAATAGAACCACATTGGGAACTTTTAAACAATATTGTTGCCAAGTGCCCACTTCTATTTTAATCAGACTCTGAGAGAAGGGCTAGGTGTCATTATCTATACTAATAAAAGGGTAATATGCTAATTAGACTGGACATCTTCCAGATGACCTTCCATATGTCCTTCCGGACAAGGCCACTGTGATGGGGTCAAGGCAGTGGTGGTTAGGGGGATCAGGCCAGCAGAGGAGAGCAGTTAGGGGAATCAGGCCGGCAGGAAAGAGCAATTAGGGGAATCGGGCCAGCAGGGGAGAACAGTTAGGGGTTATTGGGCAGGCAGGCAGGTGAGCGGTTAGGAGCCAGTGGTCCCAGATTGCAAGAGGGATGTCCGACTGCCGGTTTAGACCCGATCCCTGTCTGATTTAGACCTGATCCCATAGGGATCACATCCCCCGGCAGTCGCACATCCCCCGAGTGGTCCCAGATTGGAGAGGGTGCAGGCCAGGCTGAGGGGCCCCCCCCCCCCCGTGCATGAATTTCATGCACCGGGCCTCTAGTCTACAATAATAAAAGTGTAATATGCTAATTAGACTGGACAGCCGAATGACCTTCCAGACGTACTTCCGGACAAAGCTGGGCGTGGCTGTGAGGGCCCAGCCCCTTGCATGAATTTTGTGCATCGGGCCTCTAGTTGAGATATAATTAACATACCACGTAATTCATCCATTTAGAGTACAGTTCGTTGGTTTTTAGTATATTCACAGAGTTGTGCAACCATCACCACAATCAACACTTTCACTATTCCCCGGGGAACATTTCACTAATTCAAACAGTCAATTGTCATTTCCCTAACTCTTCCCAGACCTATTCTATAGATTTGCCTATTCTGGATTTCATATAAACAGAATCACATAATACATATGCAGTTTTTTATGATTGACTTAATTTAGCATAATGTTTTTAAGGTTCATGTTGTAGCAGGTACCAGTACTTCATTCCTTTTTATTGCTGAACGTGGCCTGGTGCACAGATTTGTGCACATTGAAAGGAAGCGGGGCCGTGCTCCCTCCTCTCTGGTTCCGGGGTGCGTCGCCCGAGAACCACCGCTGCCAAGTCACCGCAGCTTGGCAGTAAACCAGTTCAGGGCTAACAGTGCCCCAGCAACAATGTAACCCACGGCCCGACCGAAGGTGGAGTCATGTGGCCCCAGGAGGAATCGGGCTCCCTCCTCTCTGGTTCCAAGGTGTGTCACCCGAGAACCACTGCTGCCACCACAGCTTGGCAGCTCCTGCGATCAGCATCTGCCCCCGGTGGTCAGTGTGTGACATATGTACCAGCTGGTCGGGACTGTCGGATGGTCAGATGGGCACTTAGCCTTTTATGTATATAGATAATAGTTCTTTATTTGAATATACCACGTTTTTTTATTCGTTAGTTGATGGACATACGGGCTAATTCCACATTGGCTGTTATGAATAATGCTCTGAACATTTGTGTATAAGTTTTCGTGTGAACCTGTGTTTTAATTTCTATACCTAGGAGTGGAATTGCTGAGTCTTATGGTGACTTTGTGCTTAACCTTTTGAAGAACTGCCAGACTTTTCCAAAGTCGTTATATTACTTTAAATTTACCAGAAACATATAGGATTCCAATTTATGCACATTCTCACCAACAGTGTTTTTGCCTCATTTTGGTTTGGATTTGCATTTCTTTGACAGCTAATGAAGGATGTTGAACTTGTTTTCTTTGTGCATATATCTTCTTTGGAGAAATGGCTATTAGAATCTGTCAATTTTTTAACTGGGCTACTTGTATTTTTATTATTGAGTTGTAAGACCTCTTTATATATCTGAATACAAGTCCCTTATAGATGTGTGATTTGCAAGTATTTTCTCTCATTTTATCATTTTCATTTCACTTTCTGTATATGGTTCTATTGTTCTCTGCACAAAAGCCTTTCATTTTGATGAGGTTTGATTTTTCTTTTGTTTGTGCTTGTGGTGTCATATCTAAGAACACCTGACCTAATTCAGAGTCACAAAGATTTACCCCTGTGTTTTCTTCTAAGACATTTAATTTTAGCTCTTTCAGTTAGGTCTGTGATCCATTCAGTTAGGACATAGTATAAGGAAGGAGTCTAACATTCTTTGTGCAGTTATATTAGTATTATTTATTGAAAGGACTATTTCACCATGAAATTGTCCATGCCCTAGTCAAAAATGAATTGACAATAAATGTCAGGATTTATTTCTAAACTCTCAATTTTATTCCATTCATCTATATTTCTGTCCTTATGCTAGTACCTCACTATCTTGATTACTGTAGCTTTGTAGTATGTTTTGAAACCAAGAAGTGGAAGTTTGCCAGCTTTGTTCTTTTTCAAGATTGTTTTGGCTAAATTCTGGGTCTCCTGTGTTTTCATATGAATTTTGGGATCAGCTTGTAAATTTCTGGAGGGAAAAAGAAGCCAGCTGGAATTTTAATTTTGAAGGATTGCATTGAATCTGTAGATCGATTTGGGGAGTATTCTCATCTTTACATCAAGTCTACTAATACATGAGCATAGTATGTCTTTCCATTTACTTAGGTCATCTTTAATTTCTTTCAAAAGTGTTTTGTAATTTTTAGAGTGTAAGCCAGTATTTTTAAAAGCTATCCAGGTGATTCAAATGTGCAGGTGGGGTAGAAAACCCTGCCTTCAGTAGCCATGAGTCACCCCCTAATTATATTCAGAAAATGTTTCTGGGTTACTGACTCAGGAATTCTCATTCTTTTGCCTCTTTTGAAGACTGAAGTGTTTTTCCCTGCAATTGTAGGTTTTCAGAATGTTTGTGGTTGACATTCAGATGTATCTATGGTAAACAGGGCTGACGGTCGGTACTCCTATCTTACCACAGCCCCATCCTTTTTAGTCCTCCTCCTACCCAAACCTGTACTCTTTAAGGAAGGATATCACCGTGAGATAGGTGCAGAGAGAGCCTCCTGCTACCCCTATATCCAGGGCAGAGTCCTGGTGCCTGTCTCAACTCCAGGTGCCTATGGGCCAACATACCACTTAACACATCTACCAGGCACTGGGAGGACAGTCATGGGTAGGCTTTCCTTGTCACGTAAGTAGATGAAAGACTCCAAAACAGAAAAACCTGCCAGACTAAATGAGTCATTAGTCAGGTTCCTCTAATTTATAGCGCGGTTAGATTATGTCTGCAAACTTAATGGTAAGGCCGATCCTCTGAAATACGGCCCCTTGGTGCTCAAGCTTTAGTTGGGAATGGTTTCCTGTAAAATTCTGAAACGGAGATGATGATAGTACCTAACGTTAATTAACTGTATTCTGAGGATTGAATTAAGGGGTGTGTGTGTTTTGCTAGCATTAGCTTAACTAGTATGGGTCGGTTTTATAGTTCTAAAATGTAGCCATTTGTATCAGTTTTATATCAGTTAAGTCACAGATATTTAGTAGGGTATTTGTAGAGGGTGGATTAGGTGCTTGTAGAGGGTGCATTGAGCTGAAGTAAGCAATTAAAATGTAATTATATCATTATCTTTCCTCTCTTTAGGCCATTGCCATTGTGCTGGGATTCATGGTTATTGTGGCTTTTGCTTTAATAATTTTCTTTGCTGTGAAAACTCGAAGAAAGATGGACCAATATGACAAGTCGAATATTTTGTGGGACAAGGAGCCCGTTTATGATGAGCAGCCCCCCAATGTTGAAGAGTGGGTAAGTATTCAAATAATCAGCAAGCATCCAATCTTTCATTAAACCCCTAGGTTTCTGTCTCTGAACTTGACCTTTAGTGCTTTGTGAAACGCTGTTCTTAGAATTATTGTCTATGTTGCAAAAGTTTTGGTCTCAGGTTTTACTTTAAGAAGGTGGGATAAGTAGAAATTATTTTACTACAAGGTAAAAATCATATTTTCATTTTCAAGAAGTAGATCTAGGCACTGAAAGTGGATTGGTTCTAAAGTAATCGTGGGGGGAAAAATAAGTAAACTAATCATGTGGAAGGAACTAACACAACTCAAACAACTCCCCGCCCCCACCCAGTCACCTTTTACTTTCCTGCTTATCCTTTGGAGGGAAACACTATTTATTACCCAGGGTACTCTCTGGGGTCAAGATTGCCAAAGGGTGTTTTTGGAGAGGTAGCAGGTGGTGGCAGACTTAAACTTTTTACATGGAGAACAGCCTGGTGAATCCCAGTGTCTGGTTCTGCACTAATATTCACAGTATCTATGCAATACTTAATGAGGCTGAGAGAGATTAGAGCAATTTCCTTTTTTGTATATACTGTTAACCTACTGGTAGGCAGCTTCCTATGTGATGTGATTTGCGGAAAGCCCACAAAGTCTCTCTCTTCAAAAATATCTCCCCAATGCATGTTATTGAAAACCTAACCTGTCTGTAGAGAAGTTTGGAGTAAGACTTCGTTTCTTAGAAATCCTCTGTTAGGATGCTGTTGGGAGCAACCCCAGAAACGGCCATGATAGGTTTCTTTGAGCAGATTGATTGCTTCCATGAGGGTTAGTTGAGAATCCTGGATACTGGTTCCAGGAAGGGATTTTTTATTTACTTATTTGTTGGCTGGTGGGAGGTCAGTGGAAAGGGTTAAGGGTGGGTACTGCTGGTCAGGGGTAAAGATAGTGATCATCCCGAAGGCTCCTTTAGCTGTAGCATCGCATACATCTTATGTTGGAAGGATTCTAGAAATGTAGATGAAATGTATATTTTTACTGATTTTAGAGAGAGAGGAAGGAGGGAAAGAGAGCGAGAGAAACATCAATGTGAGAGAGAAACATTGATCGGTTGCTTTCTGTGTGTCCTGACCAGGATCGAACCTGCCATCTGATTAAGTGCCCTGATTGGGAATTGAACCCAAAACATTTTTGGTGCATGAGGCCGTGCTCCAACCAACTGAGCACTGGCCAGGGCTGAATTATTTTTTTAGTTAAGGAGCAAAAATTAAGCAGTTTTAGGAAAGTCAGAAGATGGGGTATATGCTGTGGGAATGATAGTTCTATGTCCCTGCCCTTGAAGAAATCCTCTTGGGATGGATTGTTCTTTTTCCCTCCTCAGTTTTTCCACCCATAAAGTATGAAGGTGTTCGGGAATGTTTTCCTTTAACCTTTAGCCCCAGGCAAGGCCAACGCAGATGGAATAGGACAGTCTATTGTGAACTATGAAGTAAATGTTTCTTGGGAGTTTCTGGGCGTGTCAGTTTTCACTGGCTGTTGGATTTATTTACTTAAGGTTTCGAGAGCCTTAAAAAAAAAACAACAAAAAAAAACACCTTAAGAGAGACCAGAGCCAGTAATAATAGAGTCCCAGTGAACTTTGGGCCTCATCTGATTTTACTGTCATGAAGGTTTAGTCAGTTCCAGGTGCTTTTGATAATTTGGCAAAGGCTAATCATAACTTATGGAGGTGACGATGATGATAAAGTGGAAAGGATTTAGTTTATTAAAAGGCATTATTTTTATAATGCTTCCTCACTGAATCTCCAGAAAAACTGATAGACCAGACTAGGCTGTTTGATGTATACTTAATAGTTTCTCTGTAGAAATAACTTTTGCTGTATGAAACTTAAAGAATCATCTGTTAAATAGCAGGTATACAATTTTGGCATACTAGTGTTTTATGTGATACTTGCAAATTCTTCATTTCTTTCCCTTTCCCTTCTCTAAATGAACTGCATAAGGAAGGCTAGTATTTGAAACTAGAGGCCCGGTGCACGAAATTTGTGCACTGGGGGGTGGGGGGGGGTGGTCCTTCAGCCTGGCCTGTGCCCTCTTGCAGTCCAGGAGCCCCGCAATCAGTCACTCCACAGAGGGAGGACCCGCCGCAGCCCGCTGGTCAGTGGCCTGGGCCTCCCTCTTTGAGGCAATCATGGAGGCCTCCCCACCCCCCGACCAATTGCATCGCACTCGCCTTGGCTGGCCTGGCACCAGTGTGTCATAGCGTGGTCGTCCAGATGGTCATTCTGCTGTTAGTTCTGCTGTTCGGCAGTTTGTTCAATTTGCATATTACACTTTTATTATTATAGATAAGCTACTTGGAGTTGGTTTTAGCCACAAGTATATTGCTTTTCCTTTCATTCTTCGCTCACCTGCCCAAGTTTGCTTTGCAAAACTCAAAACCAGCACCTTCGACCTTGCACCCTCCATTTCCCACCTTCTCTGTTGTTCAGCAGATGAGCATTCAGCCTCTGCTGTCTCAGGAGTATTTGATCTATACATAGATGTATATTTCAATGTATTCTTGGGAGGGGCAAGTTCAGCATCCTCCTATGCTGTCACCATTTTGGACCTCCTCAGGAAATGTGCAACTTTCTAATTTCCTGTCTCTGAATCTTTAGCACAATGTTTTCTCTGCCTTCCTAGGGATTTTTAGGGTTTTTTTTTTCTGTCTCCCCTTTCTGTATATCTTGTACTTTGTAAAATAAACAGACCATGTTTGCATACTGGGTGTTAACCTAGTTCTTTGAAGTTCACTTAAGCTTGTGCCAACATTGTTGTATTTTAAATGTTTAAAGTTTCTTTTAATAAATTTACAGACCTTTATTTTTTCTGTATGTCCTCAGACCCCAAAACTAATAGGTACTTTTTCTGAATTAAAATACAATTAGTCATTGATGAACAATGGGGATAAGTTTTGAGAAAAGCGCCTTAGGCGATTTCATCATTGTGAACATCATAGAGTAGACTTACACAGATCTAGACAGTATAGCTTACTACACATCCAGGCTATATGGTATAACCCATTACTTCTAGGCTACAAGACTGAACAGCATGTTTCTGTACAAAACACGGTATTAAATCAATTACAAGAGACAATGCAATCAAGAGACACAGCAAATGCAAGATTTCTGAGGCGCCTGCCTACATAACACAGCATACTGTTTTACAGCAAACATCTACACTAATAAAAGAGAGGGATGCAAATTAACCATCACTCTGTCACTCTGATACACCCACAAGCCATGCCCACCAGCCAATCAGAGCAACTATGCAAATTAACCCAACTAAGATGGCGGCAGCCACAAAGCTGGAGTGAGCAGGAGGCTTGGGTTGCCTCTGGCGATGTAGGAAGCCAAGCTTCCCGCCTGCCCTAGGTGGCCCTGGGCTCCACTCAAGGCTACAAAGTTTCAAATATAGAAGATAAATAAATCCCAGATACCTGCAAGGAGAGGCTGGGAGCTTGGGTCACTGGGGGGTCTGGCCAGCCTGAAAATAACCCTCAGCCCTTTACCCATGCTGGCCACATCCCCATGGGGTGAAGGTCCCCTCTAGGGGGCTTGGTCAGCCTGAAAACGGCCCTCAGCCCTTCACCCAGGCTGGCAAGGCACCCCAGCGGCACCCCCACCCTGATCTGGGACACCCTTCAGGGCAAACCAGCCGTCCCCCACCTGTGCACCAGGCCTCTAGCCTATATAATAAAAAGGTAATATGCAAATTGACCCTAACAGCAGAATGACTGGGAATCACTGGCCACTATGACACACTGACCACCAGGGGGCAGACACTCAATGCAGGAGCTGCCCCCTGGTGGTCAGTGTGCTCCCACAGAGGGAGCTCTGCTCAGCCACAAGCCAGGCTGCCGGCTGCCAGCACAGAGGTGGTGGCAGGAGCCTCTCCCGCCTCCTCAGCAGTGCTAAGGATGTCCGACTACAGCTTAGGTCTGCTCCCCGCTGGCAAGTGGACATCCCCAGAGGGCTCCCAGGCTGCCAGAGGGATGTCCGACTGCCAGCTTAGGCCTGATTCCCTGGGGAGCGGGCCTAAGCCAGCAGGTGGACATCCCCCGAGGGGTCCCAGACTGTGAGAGGGCACAGGCCAGGCTGAGGGACCCAGCATGAGTGCATAAATTTTTGTGCACCGGGCCTCTAGTTGTTTTATAAGTAGAAAGAGGACACTCAGATAACAATAAAAAGTATAGTGTTGTAACTAAATAAACCATTAACATTGTTCTTTATTATCAAGTATTATGTACTGTACATAATTCGGTGTATATGCTATACTTTTATACAACAGCAGTACATAGGTTTTTTTACACCACAGCATCATCACAAACAGGTGAGTAATGCATTTCACTACAATGTTACAAGTCACTAGGTGATAGAAAGTTTTCAGCTCCATTACAATCTTATAGGCTAGCCACCTTGTTATTATCCTAACTGCAACACTTGCTGTATGGACTCTCATAGGAGAAACTGAGGTTTGCAGATGACTTAAGTAATTTGTCTCAGACTTGACATTCTAATCTGCAGGACAAGTATTATATTTGCTGTTATAACTTGTATTTCGTGTGTGTGTGTGTGTGTGTGTGTGTGTGTGTCTTTTTCCCCTCTGAGACCCAGTTTTCTTTGTCAATAGAATTGGAGAAAGTAGTATATTTTCAGTGCATAGTTGGCAATCTGCGTATGGAGAGGGTCAACTTAAGTTTTACATGGGGTCTGGCACTCCTAAGCCCTGCATTGCTCAAGGATCAACTGTACTGAGTATAACTAACAGATTAGAATGGTAATTAATATATGTGTCAAATGCTTATCTCTACTACAGATCAGCATACCAGTTATCAATAAGTATTTTCTGCATGTTTGCCAATTTGTACCTTTTTTTGTTATTGCCACATGATTATGTCAGAAGCAGGTATAGACTAAGTTTGGAAAGAGCATGCCATAAACTTGTTTCTCCATTGTTACCAAGTAGTAATTTGTTTTAAAA